CATAAAGGCAGTAAATCTAAAAAATACATCTGGGAGGTTATATCAACAACTTTAGAAGATCTTGAAAATTATATTAATGACCCTAAAGAGTTGAAGTCGTCCAGTGGTAAAGATAAAGCTTTTTACAACAAAGTGACGAAAGAACTCGTACCTGCTATTAAACAATCTATTGAGGTGATCATTATTTTTTAATATAATTATATTTTAATTCTTAATCATTAATATAATTTACTATTAGGCAAAGGAAAGACGGGAAGCTCGAAAATTGCGTCAAGAAAAACTAGCACAGAGAGTTGCTTTATTACATGCGAATTCTGAAGTTATTGCTAGTCGTACTCGCAGTGGTACAAGGAGAGCGATGGGTCTTGAACCTGACAAAAAATCTGCATCAACATTATCTTCTACCTCATATACTAAAAGTAGATATGACGAAGCTTATAATTATTCTGCAGGACCACATATGACGCGGGCGAAAGCTGCTCGTGAAAGTGCAAAGCGAAAATATATCGATTATGATGATGATGCCGACTCTCAAGATTCTTTAGGACGCCAATCAACACGATCAACACGATCAACTCAATCCAGTCTTGCAAGCAAAGTGGCAAGAATCTCAACGAATGATTATTCTCAACAAACGTCCGATGATCTTAGTTCACTTTCAAATGGAATTTCGACTGATTTTAGAATAGACGGGGATGAGATGATTGTTAGTTCGCAGGAAAAAATAAGTGAACCGATGAGTCGATCTGTTTCAAACATTAGTCAAACTTCATCCACTTCCAAATTATCTCGAGAAATTTTTGGAACAGACTCTATAACATCGGTATCAGAAAAGGCAGGCGATGATGATTATAAAGAGGTTTTTGGTTCAGACGATGGTACTGAATTATCCGAGCCTGAAGAAGTTTTAGGCAGTGAGAGCGGATCGGATTAAGGTTACATGTTGTAAAAGTTTAGCGAAGATGGAAGGTCGCAATCTTTTATTCTTAAGCTGTAATTTTTTGCCGTAAT